GTGTAAAAGGTGTCCCGAGTTTTGTCACTTAGCAAGTCACTGTCCTTACTGAAGTCAACACAGTAACACCCCTTGTACATTTGTGTGTTTGTTTTCGTCTGTGTCTCTTGACTTCTTTTTGCTCTTTGACTTCTCTGTAGTGTATTGGTGTGTGTTATGTATCAGGGTGGGGATCATAAAGTATCTTTTTCCTGTCCAGCCCACTGACGCAGTGGCACTTTTATGTGACATCATGGCAGCTGACCGGTTTGGACTCACTCACGGGGTGTGTGTTGATAAAAGGTTGATTGAGGCATTTTCACTTCAGGAAGACGAGATTGAGTATCTGGATTTATTCACAAAGTGCAGCGTGTGCAGACTTATGCCCTGGGTCAATGTGAAGAAGTCATGCTTGCTATTTCAACCGCTCGCAGGACTCTTCAGTGATCTACTTGATTTGGTGGCGCTTGAATGTGTCCCAATTTGTCTGGGTAAATCTGATGGATTCATTCATTCACCGCCCCGCCGGCATTTCTACCCACAGAGCTAGCTTGGAACAATGTCAATTCAGTTCATATCCAGCTCAGGAAATTGCTCCCACTATGCGCGTTATCGGCCGTGATGTGGTCACGCTGAGCAAATAACCGCTGTTGTCAACACTCTGATGCCAGCATGTGCAGACAGTGGGTGGATGTTGGCGGACGCTCGGGTTTCTGTATGCACAGCCACCAGGAAATGTTCAATGAAAACATCTGACTCTGCTTTTGCAGTATGTGGTTATTAAAACCTCACAAAGGTTATGGCATACGGTCAATGAACCGAATTGAAGACTTTTGGGGGGATTTAGTCACCATTATACTCTGAAAGACTCCCCTGTTTCCCATTTTTGTTCTCGATGTATTACTCTGGCAGCGTATTGTGGAGGGTTGGCGTTATTGTCATCGTGTTTCATTTATTGATACTGTCTGGTTTTATTTTCTGTCCTTGAATGCACCTTGGACACTTTCAACTGCTGTGGTTGAAATGTGCCTTTCGGCTCTCTCTGCACTAAAAACAGAGTGCCGTTGCGCATTTTAGGTGCCCCGGTGTGTCAGGCAGTCGAGTTGGACACAGTTCACATGCAAGCTTCGGATTGGTTTAGAACACATGCTGCGTTCGCAAATTAAGGGGATGCGAGTGTGCATTGCCTATCCGAGCACACACACACACACACACACACACTCTCAGAGTAGTGCAAACGGTGACATGCTCGCTGCATGCCGTGGTACTTTGCTGATTATTTTGTCTGTCTCGTTACAGACCGCGGTAAATAAATAGCTTTGCTGCCATTTTGTGAATTAACCTTGCATTTTGGTTAATCCCGGCATTTTTTGGCCCCTATCGGCCATGCATAGCAGGGGTTCACTTTATTACTTTCATAACATCTAAAAATGGAAAATACGGTTGTTACACTCTTGTTAAAGTCTTGTAAGAAAATGTTTGATCGTTAATTCATGTGGTGTCTATTCGAGACTTGTCTCTGGTTTTGTATGACTCAATCAGTGTTGTTTTTATTTGCAGGAAATGCACATCTGCATTAGTTTAAACCAATGAGCGAAGATGAAATTACCACGTCATGGTCTTGTCGCTGGTCAGATGGACTGGGGGCCCCCGTCTAAGGTCGTCTGACCTTTTGTCTTCAACCCGAGAGGATCATCTGTGGTAGACAACCGCGTTTCTTCGGCCTTCATGTCACAGGTAAGAATCATTTGTTTATCGCCATCTCTGTTTCGGTGCTATCAGAACAGCCCAATTGTGCGGTCTCGTTTGATCAGACGTGCCCATTGTGTATGAAAGAGCCTTTTGATTGTTACCCCTTTGTTTGTGGGTCGTGGTCACGCTGCGCAATCATCGTGGAAGGAAGTCCGAGTCAGGGTGGCTTTATAGAAACGCCTGTGCCGGCAACAGACCCGCGCACTGGACGCTGGCCAGTCAGACACTTTGAGGCAGGTGTCCGTTTACGCATCTTAACTACCTGCTACATTGCTTGTTTGTTTAATGGAAAAAAAAAAAGAAAAAAAAACTAATGAAAAGTTTGACAACCTGTGGGTTGAGCAGCGTCCCACAACGGTGTTTGACCCTTTGAAAGGGGTGATGGCACTATGTTGAAATGACAGCGGGTCTTGCAGTTAAGACAGACAGGAACGAAAGCAGTGAGCTTATGACGAAAAGAGGAATACGGAAGGATGTGGCCATCGCAGCGTGGACTGAAACCTCCTAAAATAGCAGCGCCATTGAGTGAGCTTTTTGTGGAGAGTGTCTCCGAATGCTTGGAGGGCCTTGGGAGCTCAGACTGACAGAGTAGACGGAAGAGGACAGGGAGCCTCCCTGAGTCCAAGTGTGTGTGTGTGTGTGTGTGTGTGTGTGTGTGTATGTGTGTGTGTGTGTGTGTGTGTGTCTTTGGGTGAATGGAAGAAGCAGGACAGTGTTATTTTAACCCTGAGCATAGATCCGGCTGTCACACCATACCATCCAGTGGTGCACTCGTCATCTCTTCCTGTACTAAATGTGTGCACCGTTTTATTTTGTTTTTTACCTATCAACTAGTTTCCATCATTCCCCCCCCCCCCAATCCCTGTATGATGAGTTAACGCTCAAGGCCACAGAGCAATATATGTTGTTGTCTTTCTTATCTTCTACTATGCTCAGTCATGCACTTCTCAGCGGCAGCGCCCGGAAGTGCAGATTGCATATCCTCCCCCGCCACCCCCCATAAACACACACAGTTGAGCGATGAAGCAATTTTGTAGTGGCCGTGAATGAGACTATATCACTACACACACACACACACACACACACACACACACACACACACACACACACACACACACACACACACACACACACACACACACACATCTAAACGCAGAAAGTGGAAGCAAGCTTTCATATTATAGTAGTTATTATGATTGTTGTTGTTAGTATTGTTCATAACTTTGGCAACTTTTCTCTTTTTTTGACTGTAAATGATCGCTTCATTCACAATGTGCCACTTTCTTAACGTTGCTTAACTCTGCCCTCTTGTGGCCAAAGAGATGCTGTGCATATTATACAGTACTTGATATACAGTGGACCCCCGCATACTCACTCTTTAGCACCGGCGGAGTCACAGATAGGCAGATTTTGTTTTTCCATGTTTTTTATATATGAATGAATGAATCTTAAAATATATTTTTTCTCCACTTTTTAAAATTATTGTGGTCGAGCTGGGAGTCAAGCCTTGTTTTTCATGGAAAACGCTAGGCGGTCTTATGTGGGGGGTTTTCCCCCATAATTTTTGGTTGAACGTTTATTTTTTTTTCAATGCACAGGCTTCACAAGGTTTCATGGACGGAGGGGGGAAGGGCTTGGCCCCCTGGAGATGCACAGATGGACAGATTTTGAAAACAATACAGTACTGTGTAATAATACCGTCACGGTTGGATTTTAAGTGGGGTTTTTTTTCAGTCTGTTACACCAACACGGTTGGTATGTTGACAACCACAAAAAACAACTCCAAAAAAAAAAAATGTCAATATTGTAATCAGTGTACACAAAGCTATGCAAACTTAGCCTCTCCTTCTGCCTGCCTCTGTAAGAAACATTGAAGCACATTTAATGTTTAACTGATCAACATTGACTTTGGCTCACAGCACAGAAACTGTTTCCTCACCGATTACAGTTTGGTGCGTGTGTGCCTTGATTAATTGAGGAGAAATGTTACTCAATGATGAGCAGTTCTCCTGTCATACTCGTGTCCCCCTAATCCTGCCCCGCGTTGCTCGGCGGCCGTGAGCTCTCCTCTTAACTGCCACCTGTTTCGCCTGAAGGGACACACGGGAAAGCCAACACCTCCCCGCACTCAAGCGAGCCTTCAGTCTTCTCCTAGAAAGACGGCATGGGAGCCGAGAATGATGTAGCGTGTATCATCCACGCGCACGTTGAGCCAAGATGGAAATATTTCTGGGAAAGGGGCGATCAAGACTGATTGGTGTAGCCAAAGCCAAAGCTTGATTGATTCAACAAATGCTGTGGAGTCGTGGTCCTTCATGTCGCTAAGGACTCTCCGTGGTCTCTTCGAGTCGGTGTTTGGTCTCGAGAGTTCTGGTCGTTTACACCCACGGTCTGTCTGATCTCCTTCTCCTGATGCTCCATCATACGGAAAGAGAAGGCGTTTGCATGTTTTAACAGACTCGGCTTTACGTCCCCCCCCCCCCCCCCCCCCCCACTCAAGTTGCCTGACAAATAAAGCTGTCGGGGTCATTGGCGAAGGCGCCGGCATTTTTGTGTTTGAAAAATTTTCCAGCTTTCACAACGACCGTATTTTAAGTCTGGGTTCGGACGTGATTGAGGGGTTAAAATTCACGGTTCAGTGGGTGCGTTTGGTGAAACCGGACATGGCTGAGTTAAACATAAATGATCAAATGTTGTAGAAATGAGACGGGATGACACAAAAGGGTGCAGCGATAGAGTTGGGGATCACAGATGTTGATTTCGTAGCTGACGCAGGCTCAGTGAGGTCGTAAGCCTTTGACACCAAATCTGTGATTGGCTGCTCCTCAGCTGCGAGCGCGACCAATAAGAATAACCCGGGTGGCTTTACAGCAGCATGCACTTCAAACCAGAAGACAAAGGCGTGGAGAAAATCAATCCTGTTATGTGTAAAAAGCTGTGAAAATATTTTGTTTTCAATGTCCTCTGCAAAAGTTAAGATTATATGTACTTTCTGTTAGTATTTGTGTTTTGCTAATTCTACTGATCCTTTCTTTGATGAATTGAAATTTGGTGTGGCGCTCATGTGACACGAACAGTTTGAAGAGCGGCCGAGCCAGGAGAGCAAAAAGCGAATGTTGCACGGCGAGCTGCGATTAACCGGCCAGAGGATATCAACAAAATCGGACTGGACATGAGAGTGGGAGGGGAGTCGGGCCACAGTTTGTGGAGACGAAGGAAACGAGGCAAGCCATGTGTATCGGAGAAACTAAAAAAATAAAATAAAAATGGTGATTGCAGTTCACAATAAGTCCCATGTCAGCTGTTATTTCAACTCCAACTTGGGACCAGGAGACGGTCATGTCCAAACACATGCGCTTGTCCACAACTACCACACGTACTGTTTCTTTCATTCTATTTTCTTCTCCATCCAGATGTCCATTCAGTATGGAGCCAGATGGTCTGGATACCTTCCCAATAGTGGGAGAGGTGCTTTTGACACACGCACACAGGACGCTGTTTTTTTATTTATTTTTTAACATAAATCCCTCTCAGATGGAAGATTAACTCTCCTCATTAGGCCCCCTCCTGTTCCCCTTGTCCCTCCTACCTCTCCCTCGTGCGTGCCTTGCGTTTGCTGCCATTGGCTGCCTCTATCAGGACCACCATAAACCGGATCCATGCTGACTTCGGGGCACAGGGACAGCGAGGAAGAAGAGGGGTGGGTGGATTTTGCTACGATAACAGAGGAAGCGACCACTCACCAAATCTGGTGCCGGGATCAAGAGGGGGGTGTGGAAAGCAGTTTAAAGGGGTTCAGATCCAGAGGAGGAAAGGGGCGACCGACAACAACAACAACAACAACAACAACATGGGATTAGGCATCAACCGAGCAATCAGGAAAGACGGTTTAAGTCAAAGCATTAAATATCCCCGACGACTGTATTTGTGTCATTGGATATCTGTTCCTGAAAGGCAGGAAGGATGAAATAAGGTAAAAAAAAAAAAAAATGCTCGCAATGACATTTCTATGAGTGGAGAGAAACTGACATTACTGGAGCACAGAGATAGAAAGGGAGAGCGTAGCATCGCCGGATATGAAAGAAGAGCATGCGTCAGCTCTAAAACAGTGCAAAGGAGGAGTCAGCGAGACGGTGACAGAGGAGGTGAGGCAATTTTGGTCGTGGAAATCGAGCCTTTTCGGATCCCTACCTTTAGGTGCCGCATGGTGTCTCCTTATTTCGTTTCTCCTTTCCACCTGCAGCAGCTCCGCTGAGGACCCAACTAAGCGATTTCTATGTCCGGACTGAACAATGACCACCAACTGAATGTGAAGTGATCAGCTTTGAACCATCCGGGAAGTTCACATCACCAGCGGCAAATTGTGGCGGGCGCTAACCCGTTCTTATCTTTCTTCAGCTTGGACAACACAACATTTGCGGCTAAAAGGCGGATTTGCGGAGGATCGCCTTTCCGGAGCCCACCAGAATCCTCCATCAAATCCGTTATTGCATAGACCAGCACTTGGGCAGCGAGCGCGGCCGTTATCAGTGAACCGTGAGCTCTTTGTCTAAGCTGACTCGACACAAAATGAGGACCACAATGACGGTCGGAGTATTGCAGCGTCGCATGTAAATGAACTCCAAGCGATGCAAAAGCAGGGAACGCCGCAAGCGGAGGGAAAACAGAAACCGTGAAGCGAGCTGAAGTGAGCCTCTGACTTGACGACATCGCTTCAGTTGCACTTGGAAGATATTAATCAGATGCGGAAGTGCTGCCATGGGGGAGACGGCAGAATACCAGAGGCTGCAGGAGACGTCCGAATCGGACGGCCGCTGCGTAACCGGTGATGATGAAGAGGTAGAGCTCTTCTTTCTTTTCATCATGATTCCCATTCCAACAGAGCAGTGTTCCGTGCTTTCGAAGATTGTACTAAAGTAGAAATAAGTCATTAATATGCTAGCGCCCGATGAAGAGTTTTTAAGTTGGCTTGTGACGTCGCAAAGCCAGCCGACATGACCCAAAGTGTGATGAGCGGCTTGCGCGTTCATGAAGAAGGCAGCTAGTAACGGTGAGAACTCCTGCGAGTTGCTCAACACATTGACCATCGATGCTTCATACTTAACGTTCAATGTTTGTTTGACGTGCAAAAAGTGAATCATTTGACTCGCAAACCGTGATGCGAAAAAACACTCATTTCAAGCCTTACAACAGTACTTAACCATATTTATACTTTCATTCGTACTTGTGGCCAGACATTAAATCATGTCTCCTTTTTCACATCGTCTAAATGGGGTGTTGTATGTGGAATTTCGAAGGGGGAAAAAAAAAGAAAGAATTTCAAATTCCAATGAGGCTGGAACAAAATGTGTCACAAATGTGAAGCGCTATGAATAATTTCCAGAGCCACTGTATGTTTGCCCTTGATTTATTTCAAGAATTGTCTCTTTCTTTTACATTTTTAATTTGATTTTTTTTTTTTTTTTTTTTGCTAACCTAAGTAAAATAATCCACCCTAGAAAACGATCAGCGCAAGCCTCCGGCTCTGTGCGGCAGACCGCATGCGTGTGATATGAGAGTGCGTGTGCACGCATGGCATTGATTGACACGCTTTAGTCACACATTTTGCCACGATAGTCTCTTGTCAGCAGTTCTCGTCACAGCATGACAAGTTATAAAATAATAGTTTTAATATATGACTGCTTTTTTTTGTACTGCAACCTGAACTGTTAATTAAGCATTAAAAACTATTTACGTTTTGCCTGAGATGAGAAAAAAGTTGAGGTAGTGGTTAAGGCAACCCTATAAGTGACTATATATGTTTGCCTTAATTCAAATGTCTTTACAATTCCTTAAAGAAAAAAAACAAAACTAAGTCAATAGTTTTATGTCAGAAAAAAAATCCTGGTCCTCCCTTTTCTTGTAGGAATGAAATTAGTTTGCAATAAAATTTGTACATTCACAGTAGGTCAACACACCAGATGCTTCATTAGATAGCTTTGAAGTCAAAATAGGTGTACGGCTTTTAGAGTCCAAATCAAAATAAAAGAAAACCTTGTGCTAATGTGCAAGCTCTTTGCACCCAGTCTCATCGGATTTAGTGCCACCTAGTGGCGTTAGTTTGCAGCAGCAGGTTGACACACTGACCATTACGGTAATCCTATTGATCCAATCTCCTTAGCGATGAGGCAGCTGGCACCATTGTGATGCATTCCATGCACTGATACTTCAGCGGGCACCTCGCCGATGTAAATCAGAGTCGTGATCCACACACGCGCATGCTTTTCAGCACTGCGATGTTTCTTGGTCGCTGCCAAATGTATGCCTTGTTGCGTTGTCTCGTCAACCAGTAGGTTTCTTTTGACGGACATTTGCCGAGGTTGTCATCTTTGTGTTTCTCTGACATGCAAGTCAGCGCTCATTCGCGTTCTCATGAAGGGAGAACCGTATTCCCTCACCCTAGATTTAAAAAAATAGCACGTTTTGGTATCAATGCGACAAAAGAGTAACATTCTTTTGGCATGATAGGTCCCAAACGCGCAACATTGCCCGCGATCGATCCCAAACATTTGATCACAGACACCGAGGTTGCTTTACTGCGATTTATATTCCATCCCAATGAGCCGACTTAACGAAGGGTCGCTTACGGAAAGGAAGCCGTTGTCGGGGAAGGGTCTTGTCTATTTTGTTGTTGTATCCTGTCACATGCTGTGGAATGAACACGTTCTAATTACTTCAATGAGCAGCCACATGTGAGCCAGATGTGCCAACTAGATGCGGGGAATCAAGGAGCCGCTTAACTATTTGGTAAACACATGGCAATATGTGTTGCTATAATGTTTTGTTTTTTTTTTTAATTGCACCACCTCTTTTAATGATGGATGTTTTTAGCAAAAAGTGTACATACACACAAACTTAACACACAAAGATACCACATTAAGCCAGCTCAAGCAATTTGGCTTTTGTTGTGGTAATAACATGAAAAGAAGTCTCCAAAAGGATGACTGTTTTCACCCCCTTTTATGTTGCTCTCCTCTAATTCATCCTTTGAATCTGCGCCATGTTTAGAAAGTGCAAGGAGTGCAGCCGAGGTGGTACATGTGTGTGCGCGCGCGCGTGCGTGGGCATGTTTGTGTGTGTTTTTTTGGGACGAGGGGTGGCGATTGCATCACAGGAAACACAGCTCTCCCATCGCGCAGTTGAATGTGACCCTTTGGCCCCGGATCAAATGCTTCTCTAGGGCCGAATACCATGACGCCTCTGTCTTCTGCACCGGGTGCTGCTCTGGACTCCACTCGGCTGACCGAGTGCAGAGGAGGAGGGTGGGCGGAAGAACCAGGCGCCGAGCTCATGAGAAAAGTTGCGAAGAGGTGACTCAAGAAGAAGAGTTGAATGAGACGCCGCGTCGCAAATCCACAAGAAAGGGCGGAATTGGAAGAAATCGCCTCTGTGATGCATGTCGTTCTATGAACAATAAAACCTGGAAAATACTGGAAAACCAAAAGTTGGATCCAGAGTCATTTCGCGAGCGTACCTGACTTTGCGTGTCAAAATTGATGTCCCAGACCGGCAGAACAAGAGCGAGACCACCAGGTCTGAGCGCAAGGAAATCCGCCCCATGTTCTATTTTCAGAAGAGGAGGGAGTGAATGGGAGAGTGGGAGCTGTGGAGATATATCGGTGACGTGTGTCCAGAGCCAAATAAGAAGTGACATTGCATCACAGCAAAGAGAGAGTGCATGCGCATGCTCATCTTGTTACACCGTATTTAAAAAAAAAAGAAGAAGAAGAAACCGGAGACTCTGACTGGCTGCATATCTCCAGTCTGTCTGGCTTACTGAAGGGTGATCGAGCGAGGGAGAAGAAGCGCCTATTTTTAGCCCCACGCTGTTCGGAAGACTGAAAAAGCAAACAGACAGTAGCGACGCACGCAGAGTCAAGACGGCCAGCGAGAGGGAGGGCAGAGGGAGGAGTGATTCACTGGTGAAGTTCCGCAAAGTTCGAGTCCCCGGCTCATTGCTGTGAGGAGAGAGCTCACGCTAGGATTGGCTGTTTACTTTCACTCACTCTTTTTGCACGCTGAAATGTCTCACTGCCCGCGTGAGTGAGTCAAAACTCAAGAGCGGACTTTCAGAGGGATCGGCCTGCCATGGAATGTGGTGGATTTGCGCACCGTTTTGCGAGACGCCGTTTGCCGCCCTCCTGGCTTCAAACCTCCACATCTGGATCCAGGGAATCGGTCGACCCATTCTTTCGGATACCGGGAAGCTCAGAGCGGAGCGTTTCTTCGAATGGTTTGGGGGACGAGCCGAGATCACAAAAGCACATTTTTGGCCTCCTCTACTCTCATAAGGACTGAGGAATTCAGGATGCGACGCTTTGACAAGCTGAGAAAGACGTTCCCCTTCCTGGCACGCTTTCATGAATATCGAGTAAGTTTGTTTGACTTTTGTAGTCAGAAAGAAGTGTGTGTGTGTGTGGGGGGGGGGGTTGTTATTGCAGCAGGATGTACAGTAAGAGCAGAATAAGGCTGTCCCAAGTCATGACTTTGGCCTGTACTTCTTGCGTGTTTGTATGTCCGTGTGCGAATGTCATCTGCGACATCCGGCACTTTTCTCTCGAACTACATCTGGGGACAAATGGCACCGTGGTACTTGGTTGCGGGCAGCGTGAGTTCTGACCCATCGGTGATGGCGTGAATGTGAGAGTGAGTGGTTGTCCGTCTCTACCCGTGTATGTGTGCCCTGTGACGTCCGGCGACCCGTCCGGGGTGTAGTCCACCTTTTCCCCGAAGTTAGCCGGGGGTCGGCTCCGGCCTCCCGTGACCGTCAACAGAAAACGCAGAATAGATCTTACATTGATGGATGGCAGATTTTGGTCAATTTTCAGACATTGCAGACCAAATCGTGAAGTGAACCCTAATAACATTTGTGCATTTTCTCCACTGTCGCAATTGAAAATCTTTTTTTTAAATCTAATTCATTGATTAATGGTCAGATTGGTTGCAGCCAATATCCCAATATCGCACCTAGCAGAGAGTTATTTGTCGTCCAAGCCCTGACGGCTTCAGACTTGACACCGCTGCGCAAAGAGCCCAGACAGGAAACAGAGTTGCATCGTCTTCACTCTGTGATGAACTCACACGCATGTGTTGACTGCGTAGGACGGCCAGGCTTGCCGTGTGCAGTGAAGGGCAATAACTCATGCTGAATGCTTTTTCGTGGAATATATTACACATGTACTTTACAATATTTACAGTACCAGCAGCCTGAAATACTTAATTCAAGGAATCAACAACCAAAAAAAAATGGCTGCACTCTACAGAAAAGACAGTCTTTAGTTGCATCCAGATCCCAAGTATTGTTTGAATCCAAATGAAGCTAAATTTGCAACATTAATGCTGCACGAATTACAATCTGGCGCGCTAATTTAACAACATGAATTGCTGCCAACTGGGGAGACAAAATTTAGCATGAAACGAAAACTTTGGCATGACAGCTATTGACCCTGCATGAAAAAAGACACTGACCTTTTTTGTGTGTGTGTCCTTGCAGAAACTGGGCAATAATATGCAGCAGTGTGAGGAAGGCACAGAGTGGCTGCTGGAGCTGCTGATCGAAGTCCAGTTGCAGCAGTACTTCCTGCGAATCCGAGATGACCTCAACGTCACGCGGCTCTCCCACTTCGACTATGTCAAGGATGAAGACCTGGAGAAGATTGGCTTGGGTCGACCTGGTGAGAAGCTGCCCCTGCTCTCCTTTGGGCATGCCTACAGAATATTTTTTTTTGTATGTATTGTAGTGTATGTACAGTCTTGAGAAGCAATTCAAGATTGTTCTAGTCATGTGCAGCGCTATTCCTACCACGGGTTCATGAAGTGGGGTTTTGGTTGTTGTTTTGTAAGCATAAAGAGTATGCGCTCAGTCGTCTTGCTGCTGTTTTTCTGCATTGGTGTGACATCTAGCATTCTCTTGGTTTAAAAAAGGGCAGAGAAGACTGTGGGAGGCTGTAAAGAGGAGGAAAGCCATGTGCAAGCGCAAGTCCTGGATGAGCAAGGTGGAGACACACACACACACACACACACACACACACACACACACACACACATGGCATGTGCGACATCTTTACTTGATGGCATCTGTCTGTCAGTCACAGAATAAAAAACATATTCTCACATTGGCCAGCACGAATCCATAGTCACTCTTGCTATCATGAGCATGTGGTTCTCTAAACGGCTTTACGGTGTTTTGATTATCCACTCAACGCATGATTAGAGCAGCTCCCTTTTCTTTTTCTTCTTTGGCTTATTTTAAGTTCTGCTCGGTCATCGTCAGAATAGTTTGAATATCGAGCCTCCTCTTCGGAATCGCACGGTGTCTACCGTGGCGTTTTTAAAAAGCTGACAGCATGATGTCATGTCTGCTACGGCGCGAATGTGACACCATAACACCGTACACTGACTGCTACTGTTTATATTTGGTCAGTCAAACATGTTAGGCACCAACGATTCATCGACATGGCTTTTCTAATTATCCGATTGCTGTGTAGCGAGTTTCTTTGGGCAGGTCATTATCACTCTAAAATGGCATGCGTGAGAGAAACATCGGGTTGGAGCTGACACGGGCGTTGCAGCATAGCTGTGGAATTGACTGTTTTTACTCAATTTCCGAATTGACTTTGTTGTTGTCTCCCTCTATTCCTCTCAAGGTGTTCAGCGGTAAGCGTCCAGATGGGGCAGACTTTCCCCAGCAGGGCCAGCCCGCCTCCTCCTACCGTAAACGGTCTCCCACACCACCCCTGGGCCCGGTGGAGGGGCTCCTGGCCACACATTCCACCGAGGACATTTCCCTCGATGGCCAACGGCAGTCTCTGACCTGCCTCATCCCGGAGAAGGACCTGACTCTCCTGGAAAAACTCGGTGACGGCTCTTTTGGCGTTGTGAAGAGAGGCGAGTGGCTGACCCCTACAGGGAAGATGGTGACGACCCTTTTAGATCCTACGTGACAATATGTACACACCGAAACGTTTGTTGGGCGAGGCCATATTGATGTCTTCGTGTCCCGTTTTGTAGATAAACGTCGCTGTCAAATGTTTGAAGCCAGACGTGCTCAGCCAGCCCGACGCTCTGGAGGATTTCATCTGTGAGGTCAACGCCATGCACTCGCTGGATCACCAGAACCTCATTCGCCTCTACGGTGTGGTGCTCACACACCCAATGAAGATGGTAGTGCACACACAGAACGCCGCCCACAGAGGGAGGACTGTCCAAACGTATCGGGGACGCATTAACTCGTGCGAATACGTGTCAAGACTCTCTCCTCTCGCGCGCGCATGACCTCACAAGTCCGTTCTAATCTGCTTTGGCATCCGAAGCCTTTTGTGTCTTAAGAGTGATGAGAGGATGGAGGAAAGCGGGGAGAAACAGGAAGGGAGGAGAGCACGTGCACTTTGGGCGAAAAAGAGCCGCTGGCATTTCTGCCTTTTCAACACCGCGCTACCTTCGGGCGCCAAATAGTTTGGGAGCTACGTCATGACTTTTCGAGCTTCCTGTTTTTGTCGCGTTACTTTGTCAACATAAGCGCCCCCCTGCTCTTTCTCGAAGTTTCCTGTGTGCTTCATTTTTCAACTGACTTTCCTCAGCCATTCATCGCTCTCTCTCTCTCTCTCTCTCTCTCTCTCTCTCTCTCTCTCTCTCTCTCTCTCTCTCTCTCTCTCTCTCTCTCTCTCCCCTGCCCCCCCCACATGCGCTAGGTGACCGAGCTGGCGCCACTTGGTTCCCTGCTGGAGCGCTTGCGGCGCGTCCACCCACAGGGCCCCGTGTTGATCCACACTCTGTGCCAGTATGCAGTGCAGGTGGCCTGTGGCATGGCCTATTTGGAGCAGAGGCGCTTCATCCACAGGGATCTGGCGGCCAGGTAACAGTAGACCACAACGTGATTTGATTTTGAGCTTTTAACGGGCGGGATGTGCGGCTCAAAATCTTTTTTTTTTTTTGTTGTTGTTTTTTTTTGAGTGGTGTTCATCTGCCTTGGACTTAATTGCTAGTGTTTTCCCTTTTTCGACATTTTTATGGCATCTGACGTGATTTTATGGATGCGGTCTTTTGCTTTCTGACTTCTCCACCCAGACATTTGTAGACTATTACAGGGTGACTTGGCCCACGGGCTAAATGAGTCACTTCCTGGCTGGTTTTTGGGCGGACTGGTCCGAATCGAAGCCAATTATAACACCCTCAACAGGCACCACTAATTTCCTCAGTTAATTTACACAAACGGATGATGCATTTTGCATGATTTTGTATTATGTCTGAGTTAATTGTATGTCTCGTGGCAAACAGGAATGCCATAGTTAAAACACACTGCTGCTGCAATATTGTTGGATGATGCAGCATGCAATGTTTTTGGAATACAACCACGAGTAAGAAGTCCAAGATGGCGCCCGAGTAGGCAGCCATCTGCAAGTGCTCTCATGAGCCTTGCTTTTTTTTGTTGTTTTTCTGTTTGTTTTGTCACTTTGTGTTTGTTGTTACGTCGTGTGGACCTGATGTGGACTGTTTTCAGCATTTTTTTGGCCACGACATTCATCAAGGAGGAGACTCGGTGCTTGGTGGTTTTGCCTTCTCGGCAGCATGGGTATGCCAGCACTGTTTTTGATTGGGAGGAATGTCGGCGCCATTTGACTGTCGTTG